CAAATCATAATCTATTTTGAGATCTGACATGGCAAGGTTAGAAGTTAACCTAATAATATTGAAAGTTGATTTTTAATAGCAATGATGTTCCAAGTAGTTTTCAACGTATATTTTTATTTCCATATCCTTTGCTACAAAGGATAAATGAAAAAGACAAAACACAGAACTGCATTTTCAGGAATGGGGAAGTTCACAGGGGAACAATTAGTACCAAAGTAAGCTGTGCTGACAATGCTAGAGAACAAAATCCTCAATTCACACAACAGAAACAACTTGATACTATAAGCTCTCCAATGCTACTGTCAGCACATCTCAGCTGAGCTGGTGTGAAAAATCTAAAAGCAGCTGGGTGAGTTTTGCTACTTCATTCAAATCAAACTGTTTCACGGAGACTTTCAGACTTTGTTAAAGGTGTAACTGAGACAATCCAAAGCAAAGGAACGTTTTGAGCAATAGCACTCTGATTTATTCTGACTCCGCCATTTCAAGAGATATTTGTGACTGCTTAAGTTGATTCCAAAGTGTGTAACATGAATTCCACCCCAAATGTCACCAAAGATTGTAAGTAAAATTCCCCAAAGAAATTCTTTAATTAAAAATAGAGGTTCAAGTTTCTAAGTGGCAAGAATATCTGTTGTGCACAAAGTTTACAAAGCCTAACTACTTAAAAGCATGAAAACAAATACTTGAGGACATCATTACTTGAGCAGGCAACATCATAAATGCATTATTCTTATCAAGGATAAAGAATTCCCATAGCGACACATTAGCTCAAGAACACAAGTCCTTCATTTAACCAGATGATTCATCAGAAAGCCAGCCAGTCTGCAGGAGCACATCCATCAAGACAGACAAACACAAAGCCCAGAAGAAAGAAAAAGAGAAGTTAAACAGATAAATTTGGTTTTCTTCTTCACCCTTTACATCATTTCTTATGTTTTACGTTTGCTTTAAGCTACAGCGCCCTTTTGTGCAACACTATTAGTTCAGAAATTTCCCAGAAGGCAACATATACTCTTTGAGATATATACCTGCTTACTCTAGCTGGAAAAGAAAGTCAACCTTCACCTTCACTTTTTTTTCCTCATCTTTTTTTGAAAAATCATGCATGTCACTTTGGCAGCAGTTCTTAGCACATTAAGCTCTTGTTGGCTCACAGAGGACAGAGACTCCATCCACCAGAAAACACAGTAACCTTGGTTTAAAAGCTCCACAACCCACGCTTACCGGGATCGAGCACAATCCACGTCAAAGGTACAGCATACTAATAGATTTTTAAAAACACATAACTGACTTCTCACTGGAATTCCAGAGAGACTCATGAATGCTCTTTACAAATCAAGGCCATCTCTAACCATAGAATCATTTGAGGTGAAAGGGACCTTTAAAGGTCATCCAGTCCAATTCCTCACATAGGGTAAAAAGACCTGCTTAGGATTTTTATCCCACTCAAAAAAAAAAAAACAAAAAAAAAAAACAGCCAAGCTACACACTTCATAAAAATCAAGTTGAGTCACTGCAAGAGCCTAACAAACAGCAATTTTCACCTAGAGAAATAATGCTAAGTTACAGCCACTGAAGAGTTCACCAATAAATGGATGCAATGATCCAGCAAGCTACTTCCCAGCTTTCCCCAGGTAGGGGGAAGCACATCAAAACTGAGTCAAACTACCAAGTTTTCATGGAAAAAAACCCACATTAAAGTTCCGCAAGCAAATCCCAATTAGTAAAACCGCTGATCTGTAATGCTTAGCACAAGGTGAGCTGCGCGGCACGAGGAGCAACGCGACTCGCCAGTGACATTCAGGCACTCGACTTTCTGCCCACATTCACCCCTCTCGGCTGGTCAGACCAGGGCGGGCGGCAAACAAACGGGGTTCCGAGGAGCCTCCTCAACCCCCCGCCTCCCCGGGCCGCCCCAGCAGCGGGGCGCGGCCGCCTCGGGCGGTGACGGCGGGGACGCGGAGCCCTCGTCCGAGGCCGCGCGCCGCCTTTGCCGCCAGGCCGAGGTGCGGCGCGGCCCCAACCCCCAGGCCGCTCCCCGCGCCCCCGCCCCGCGGTGCTCACCAGGTGCATGGCGAGGGGCAGCGTCAGCAGGAAGAGCCACAGATAGAGGTGGCAGCTGTTGGTGAAGGCGCCCTGCTCCGGGTCGTGGTACCAACCGCCGGTCAGCGCCGCCCACACTCCCTGCCCCACCAGCCGCGCCGCCGGCGACACCATGGCCGCCCGCCGCCGCCCCTCAGCCGCCCGCCGCCGCCGCCGCCATGCCGGGCGCCGGCGGATTCTCCCATGGTGCCCCGCGACGCTGAGCATCCCGCCCCACCCCGGTCGGGCCGGGCCTCCCTCCGCTCGGCCCCGCCGCCGCGCCGATCCCGGGGCCGCGCCCGGCTGCCGGCAGCGCTGAGGGGCGGCCGCTGTGGGCGCGCGGACGGACGGCGCCGCGGAGCCGCGTCCCGGAGCGCGGCGGCTCGCAGGTGCGGGGAAGGCCCGGCCCACCGGGCGGCACCGCGCTGGGCCCGGCGCAACCCCCCCTCGCCGCTACGAGGTTGTTTTACCCGATTCGTCGGGTTTGTCAGCCAAACGTCGGCCCGCTTGGTGGTACCCCGAGCTCTGCTTTGAGTTTGATGGCAGCTGAGCTTGAACCAGAGATTTTACAGCACGTGAGGGGTGTCAGAAGATAGGCGTGTGTGGCACTGAGAGGGAACCAAGAGCAGATAGGCAGCACGGGGGACACGGCCCACATCTCTGTGGCACACTTGAGGGGTGTGAGCCAACAGATGCCATTAAACAACCGTGTTTGAGAGGTAATTCATCACATAAACTCATCTCCCAGTGCTGCACACAGCACAGCCACAATGGATGCTTGTGCTGGATGCTTAATAGGTTTGAGAGCCATATAAACAGGAGGGATGGCTCTGCTTCTTTCAGTGGCATAGTGCCTGCAGATGTCTGTGGGACTACAGCCATGGGGAGAGGTATTTGCTTGGTTTGTCCTTGCCAATTAGTCTTCTAATCCATAATCTTGTGAGTGCCCCATCCCTGGATGCACTCAAGGCCAGGCTGGATGTGGCTCTGGGCAGCCTGGTCTAGCGGTTGGCAACCCTGCACATAGCAGGCAGGTTGAAACTGGGTGATCACTGTGGTCCTTTTCAACCCAGGCCATTCTATATGATTCTATGATCCAGTTCGAAAGAGCCACAGTTCTAGCATTGCCCTGCGTGCCGTTCCATTAAACATGCCTTGCATAACATCTCTCTCCCTCGGTGAGTGGAAATTTTTATTTTACTTTTTGCATAGTAAGGCAGATTCTTTTCAAAGGTGACAAAGTTTGTTAATACAAACATCAAATGCAATCACCAGCCATCAATAATGTTTTTATAGGCAGTAATTCAAAATATTAATTTTTCAGAAACCACCAAAGTTGTTTTCCATATACATACTGACAAAAACATTTACATGCAGACTTCCAAATAAAAAGAGATGGGAAAACAAAGGGGCTTCAAAAGTTCCTCTCCTCTGTGTCTCAGGCATCTGGCTCAAGCAGGTTATTATTTGGAAGCCCCAGGAAGGGAGGGCTTCATTGGAGTTGATGCAACGCTGTGTTTCACTTAGGGTGATCTGACCTCTCATCACTCAAATCTTTCCACTCTTTTTCTGGCATAATGGTACTTGCAGGTCAGAAGAGGGGTGGTAATTCCAGTTAAGGGTATGTGTTCCACACAGTGCAGACAGATGCACAATGCTGTGCCTGTGGCTGCAGGGGAGTGCCAGATGTGGAAAACGTGACCACAAACCCACCGAAAGGTCAGTGACAAACTGGGCAGTGAGCTTCACCACCAGCAACCTGCACGCTGTTCTTCTTAATGATAACTCCACTAGGTGGTGCAATGAGAAAAGTTACAGGCGCTTCACGTTGCTCTCCGTAAAACTGCTCCCATTATTAGATAAACCAGGAACAGCACTCACACACCAAGATCCTACAGTGCTCCGTGCTGTAGAAACTCCGAATAACCAGCGTGTAGCAATTGCTGGCGCACAGTGGTACTTCGGGGAGCAAATTTTTGAACACTAGCTCTAAATAAATATTTAAACTTTTCAGTGTACTGCAACCAACACCTTGTCTGACCCAAAACATTCCACAGTTAATTAGTTCCTGCAGATTCCTTCAGATAAAGTTCAAGGTGGAATTTGTGTGGCAGAGCGCTTGTGTTACAACATACTTTATGGCTTTTATAATAAGGCAAATATGCAGATAAGGAAAAGGTTTGCAATTATCTCTCTGAATAGCCGCGAGGCATTCTCTTATATTAAAGGAAATGGGAAAAAGACTTGATAGGCACACCGGTTCTGCATTACTTCTTTTTGGTTAACGTGGTTCAGTAATCGCTGTAGAGTTTTATTTTTGCGTAGTGTGTGGAGACACAGCTTCGGCTGTTCGGCGGGACGAACAGGAGTTTATTAACTTCGTTCAATTTCAATTTTCAAATAACTACGCCGAGAACGTGGGTGCGATACACAGCTACAAGTGAGACGGCAGCTGAGGGACATACAGCACTCGATGCGCGGGCAGCCGAGAGGCACAGAACAAGCCGACGACTCCGCCCAGCGGCGCAGCCCCGCGCCCTTTTATCCACCTCAGGCAGTTCCTAGCAGCCGCTCCGCTGCTCCCAGCGCCACAGGCACGGAGCTCCCGAGGCGGCCCACACCCACCGCCGGCCTGCGCGCGCGCGGAAGACACCTACCTGCCTACGCCTCCACACCCACCGCCGCCCCCTCCCTCCAACCCCATCCTAGCTCTCGCCGCCACGTGACGACCGGCAGCCAATCAGCGACGCGGAGCAGGGAGGCGGGAGCAGCGCCACTCCCTTCCCCACCCTCTCTGCCCGCGCTTGCGCCCTACCTGTGTCAGCCCGGCGGCGCCAGGCCCCGCCCCTCCCGCGGCTCCCGCTCGGCGGCGGCAGGTGAGGATGCGGCCGGGCGGGCGCCCCCGCGGTGGCGGCTGCCGGGGCTGAGCTCGCCGCCATGGCCGCGCCGGGCGCCGGGGCGTCGGGCTCCGGGGGGCCGTGCCCGCTGTGGACGGCGCTGTACGACTACGAGGCGAGCGGCGAGGACGAGCTGAGCCTGCGGCGGGGCGACGTGGTGGAGGTGCTGTCGCAGGATGCGGCCGTGTCCGGCGACGACGGGTGGTGGGCGGGCAAGATCCGGCAGCGGCTCGGCATCTTCCCCGCCAACTACGTGACCCGGCAGCCCCGCGGAACGGCGGGCGAGGAGCCGGCGGGCAGCCTGACCGAGATCGACTTCCAGCACCTGGAGCTGCAGGAGATCATCGGCGTGGGGGGGTTCGGCAAGGTGTACCGCGCAACCTGGCGCGGCCGCGAGGTGGCCGTGAAGGCGGCGCGGCAGGACCCCGACGAGGACATCACGGCCACGGCCGAGAGCGTGCGGCAGGAGGCCAAGCTGTTCGCCATGCTGCGGCACCCCAACATCATCGCCCTGCACGGGGTCTGCCTGCGGGAGCCCAACCTCTGCCTCGTCATGGAGTTCGCCCGCGGCGGCTCCCTCAACCGGGCCCTGGCCGCCGCCGCCGCCTCCTCCGCCGCCGTCCCCGGGGGCCGCCGCATCCCCCCGCACGTCCTGGTGAACTGGGCGGTGCAGATCGCCCGCGGCATGCTCTACCTGCACGACCAGGCCATCGTCCCCATCCTGCACCGCGACCTCAAGTCCAGCAACAGTGAGTTCCTTTGGGGAGGCGGCCGGGGGACCCGGGGCGGGGGGAGCGGGGCTCTGCCGCGCCCGGGGGTGGGCTGGCAGCGGGTGGGTCTGTGCGCCTGTGAGCGGGTCGGTGGTTCTTTCGGAAAGGCTGGGAGAAGTGGGTGCGCTTGAAATACGGCAGGACCGAGTCCTGCGCATCTCAGGTAGGAAGGAGCGCAGTCAGAAGCGAAGCGGGATGAAGTCTTGTGCGTGGTCACAGCTGCAGTTTCATGAGATTTCCTTTAGCTGGGCACGGTCTGCTAGCCTGGCTTTTACAGGACTTCGGCTCAGTGTAGCTTTTAAAGGAAAGCTTAATCATAGAATCACAGAACAGCTTGGATTGGAAGGGAGCTTAAAGATCATCCGGTTCCAAACCCCTGCCATGGGGGGTGTGCTGCTGCTTGCTAAATCAGGCTGCCCAGGGCCCCGTGCAGCCTGGCCTTGGGCGCCTCCAGGGATAAGGCAAGTTTTGCTTCTGTTAATAATAAAGATATTGCTTCTGTTTCACTTCTGGACATCTGCATGTGGTTTTGTCTTTCGTCTGATAAAATTCACCTGCATAGCAAGCAGTGGTGAGAAAAACAGTACTTCAGAAACAGTAGAAACTCTGGTGCTTTCAGCTTTTGGTGTGGACAAAAGCACTTGAAAGAGCGAGGGATTTGTTCAGTTCATCCGTAATGAGGCCTTCACCCATCTGTTGGAGCTGATGCAAGGGCGCCTTAAGACAGTTGTGTTGAAGGCTGGCTTCACAGGGATGGAGATGTTTAAGACACACCATCGTGGTTGAGTTTCAAACTGAAAGTGGAAATCTGTGCCCTTACATAAATGTTTGAAGCTGTCTCTGCAGTCCTGCTGCAAATTTGGCCCATTCAGAACAGAAATGTCCAACTGAAAACAGGGTAACATCTAAAGTGGTTAAGTTAAAATGAAAAAGCTTCATTCAAGTTTGAAGCATTTTGTTTGAAAGGCTTTTGTAGTGTGTCTTGAAGGTCATCATGCATGGATTGTTAAGACAAGGCTCAGTCATGGGACTGCTCCCAAGAACACTTTCACTATTTGTTTGATAAAGAAAGGACCTAGCTCAGCTGTATTTGTAGTTCTGATTGTAGCACAAGATGATGAACTCCTGGAACGTTGCTTCAGGGTCTAACAGACTTCATGGCCAACACGTTAAATGCTAGGCAGCTGTTAGTAAGCAGCTTGTATCTCGGTTTACTGCACTGCTCAGACTGAGCTGCTGTACCTTTGCTACACTCCTGATGTGACAATGGCAAAGTCCACATTTGAAATGAACTTGTAACCCTGGTTTAGCACAACACGCATTGGTGACTGCTGTGTACTGATTACCATTATCATCTCTGTGTATGTAGATAATGGCAGAGCCTTTTAAAAATATGCGTTTAATTATAACCTTAATATTTATGCTTATTCACTGCTTTCATTATTTACTCTGGTTGCCCATGTGATTGACTTTAGGTGCGTAGTTTTCTCACCCACGTTTCTTAATCAGGGTGAAGCCTGACAATGGTCTTGATCATCTAACTGAATTATAATTTTGGAAGTCGACAGTATGCTAGTGACAGAATGTACTGTGATCATTAAGTTATAGAATCATTAAGTCGTATTTTACATGAATGTAAAGGGACTGCAAATCCTGGTAGTCTCCTGTTACGTTACTTGTCTGTTTCTCCAGGATTTCACTTTATTCTGTTACTGTCATCTTTTCCTACCTTACGAAACCTGGGAGTAGAAGGCTGCTGGAGTGTGTGGTACTTGGTGTGAGTAGCATCATCTTGGCAATGTCTGTAGTCACAGACTGAGCTTTGGCTGCTCCTGTTGATCGGCTGTTGCTTGCTGCTTTCCATGGCCCCTTAGTGGTGGTGGTCAGTGTTCTCTGCAGAGTAATTCCTGATAGTTTGCCACTGTACCCATTTTGTGCTAGCTTAATGATTTTCACTGAGAAGGAGTTCTTCTTTAGACAACAAATTGGAAAGATGACTTCCCTTAATAAGGCATGGTGTGGGATGCCGACTAAAATATTTCATTTGCAAATACCTAAGAACTATGTTTTCAGCCCCTTCTACCAGCATATTTGATCCAGAAAAGATATGTCAGGACTCGTGCCTGGTAGGCAATAGCCAAAGCAGGTTTCTTAAAGGCAAGTGTGTTATTTCTCTCCAATCTCTTGCATGAAGTAGGGATCTGTAGGACAGTGTATCTGGCACTGATGTCAAATTGACACGACTAATGAGAGATCCACACGGACTGAATAGTAGTAATGAGAGCAGTAGAACGTATTTTATTTTTTGACAGCAGTGCCTGGCTTCTTTTGTATGCACAAGTTTCTTCAGACTCCTACTGGGAGGAGGAAAAAGGTGTTTTGTTTCTAGAAATGGGTAGACATGCAAATGTCTTCAATCTTTGGGAAAAAAAAAAGCAAGCAATCTTTGTGAGAGTTGAGAAAGGGATTAAAGGGTGACTGCTGGGTTTGGTTGGTATCAGGGCATCTTCAATTCTGGAGTCCATGTAAAAACCTTAATATTTAATGATTATTTCAAAGTAGACAAAGCAAAGGTGTAAAGAAGACTCAGCTTTTAAGTAGGTCTGATGAAATGAAACATGGCTATTAATGGTGATTTGCAAATTGGCTGTGGGTGTTTAATGAAACCTTGTGCAGGTGACATGGTCGTAAGTTTCTTTGAAAAAGAGCAGTCTTTTTTGAGAGTATCTTTCTAAAAGCAGCTTTTATGATCTTAGATGCATAGACTAAGGAGGTTATCTAAAATTAGGGTGGACTTCTCTTCTCCAGACTGAGCAAGCCCATCTTCCTCAACCTTTCTGCATAGGAGTGGTGCTCCAGTCCTCTGATCACCCTCATGGCTCTCCTCTGGACCTGCTTCAAGAGCTCCATGTCCTCCTTGTGCTGGGGTCCCTGGTCTGGACACAGCACAGTCAATTTTCTCCAGTTTTTCTCTGGGGGAGTCAAATTATTTTCTTTTGGGCAAGGACACCTCGTTAATTAGGATGCCTCAGTAACCATGGTTTTTTAGGGTCTCAGTCTTTCCTGTTGCTTTCTTAGGGGTCTGAATAAGGCTAATAATGTGTTCAGATAAAATGTGCAAGGCTTCACTTTTTGAAGTCTAGTGCAGAGTTAGCAGAGGTTTGTGGTTTGAGGACTGATTTCAGATTGCGCAGTACTTCTGCCTTAAAATGTGTTTTATCTGTAGTGCAGCAGCTTTGTATGCTTATAGAAAACGTAACAGAAAGTTCAGAATATCTTCCTTACGGCATGATCCAGTCTGTGAATGCAAGGTGAAGCACAAAGTTAATTCTGTGAAGATTGTATGTATATGCATAGTACTGGTGAGTTCTCTGTTGATTTGTTGTAGATGGATATGAAAGTAAGTTTTGGCTCACTAATTCTTCCAGCTTACCAGGATTGTTGCCTCAGTTTGCACCAAGTTTGTATTACATATAGAAATAATCAAGAACAGGTTGACTTTCAAAGACTATTGAATAAAGGCAAGGACATAACGGTTATAATGAGAGCAGTACTTGAAAAATGAAGAGGTCAGACAATACAGAAGAACAATGAAACAGCAGTTGGACAACCTGAATTAATGTTACATCTTTCAAAGTAATCTCGTGTAATAACTCAGAAAAGAGAATTTGGTTTTAAAATCTCCAAGGGCAGTTTGATGTGGCTTTACAGGATTTCTATTGAATTGGTTCCTTTTGATGAAGGGTGGTGTTCTGGAATTTGAGGAAAAGCAAGACAAAATAACCTGATTATTGTTTCTATAGGTTGTTTGCAGCAGAATTGTTCAACATATAAAACAACTTGAAAATAAGATGGAAGTGTTTTCAAGAACTCAGAAAAATACTTTCCCTCAGGCTTCCCTACCTAGCAGCTTCATGGTAGCTGTTGGGCTAGGAGACGAGAAAGAGGCTACATGGAAACTTACATGCCTCTTTACTGATTTTATTCTGAAATCAATGGGGTGCATAATCTGTCTCTGTTTTGAAGGACTCGCTCCCTTCACCTGTAAAGTCGTAAGGACTTCTTATACATTGTTAAATGCTTGCATATTCAGTATCTTCTAATCTTCTATAAGAAAAATAAAGAAAAATATAATCAAAATGGAATTCTATTACAATTGGCTTGGGTAGTTTTGAGAAAGAACTGGCTTTTTTGCACATGAGAGCTTCATCTCAAGATGCCCTCTAATGACAGTGGAACTTGTAGTTGTACAATAGCCATAAGCCAATTACTGTTCACCTTTTAGATTGCAGCAAGACTTAAATACAAATAAGAAAATATTTTCCTTTGGGCAGGTGCTCTGCGTCTCCCTTGCCTCTTTGTAATGCTCTCGTTCATGGGACTTGTGCTCTTCTGTTCTGTTCCCAGTGTCCCTTCCTGGGCCACCCCTAGCTGTCCCGGGGTACCAACTCCAGAAGAGGGCATTCCTTTCGCCTGCTCTAATAGTCTGTGTCTGCTATAATTGGTTTGAAACATCTCCTGTAGCCTTGCTAACTGCTGAGCTGGCAATACTGGCTTGTGTCTCTGAGGTCTGGAGAGGAACAAACATTTGTCTGGCAGAACTGAAGTTCCTCTTCTGTAAACTTCTGTAAAACCCATATGAACTTGACAGCTCTGAGAACGCGGCATTGCTTTGACTATTTTATCTGACAGATAAAATGGTGGGACTGAAAGTAACTCAGACGCAGGGGAAGGACTGGCTTAAAAAAAGCCCTTGTCCCACAGACAAGGAACTGCCAATCCCAGGCTATGTATGAGATGGTTTTCTAGTTAGGAAGGTGTTCAGAATATAAATACTTCCACAAATGTTTGAGCCATTCATGTGTTAGCAATTCAAAATTCTTGTGCCTCATTTTTCCATGCTGTATTCATATGGGAAGTCAGGGTAATTAAGTGCTGCTATTCTTAATTACTTAAATTACATAAAGATTAGAAAATGT